GTATAACACCAATCGTGGTCCGCATTTGCAAAATATTAGTGCGTTTTGAAACCTATAAAAAAGAAAGTGTCGCAACCTTTTAGTGAGCGAGTGTACATACACCTGGACTTCTGACTTCAAGACTTCACTGGACTTCACGGACTTCATCGGACTACATCGGAATTCATCGGTCTTTATCGGACTTCATCAGACTTCACTAGACTTTTATGAATATGATTGCCACTTTTCGGGTCTCCGTCTGGAAACACCGGCGAAATTTTTCAACATACTTCCAGACGAATGTTAATGTTCGGACAAGGGCATTTAAAAAACTCGACCACTCAATCAAAACTGATGAACTTTTTTTAGAAATTGAACTACATTTTTATCGGACTACGTCGGACTTCAACGGACTTCAAGGAATTCAACGGAATTCAACAGAATTCTGACAGGTTGTACATCGGAATTCAAGAGTGGTTACTTCCTCGCATTAAATACAATTTCCAACTTTGCACGATATTCACAGATTCACTTTATAAATTATATTTTATCTGTGACGTATGTAATTGAAAACATGTTTAAAAATAATTTAATTAGGTTTTTAACAGAAAACCTACCTATCTCTTATAAAGCCACATTTGCATATTATTTGATTTTTTTTATATCGCGTTTTAGAGAAAATAAAGAGAAATAAATATATATGATTTATTTCTGACATATTTTTCAATTTCAGCAGAAATGCCTTCAGAATTGGCAGGTGATCGGAAAGGGAAGATATACAGGAAGTATGTACAGATTACCATAACTGTTGACAGGGGTACCAGCCAATCAGCCACCCCGCTACGCTGTAGACCTTCTCTCCACGGGGATTCTTCTGGGGCCCTTTATAGATATCGGGGTGCACAATGATGCGGTAACCGCAATATAAAAACGGCGGTCTCGAGATCCCTTCGATTCGCGCATCTGTGTGACGTAATATAATGATGATATTACGGCTTTTCCCCCCTATCTTTCGTTCACGAATCAAGCAGCCTCGGTTGCAGTTTTCGATGCCACAATCGGCGGACCACCCTGAATGATCGTGCGTTTTACCGCCCGCGGTGAACGTGCCTGTTGATTTATTTATTCCTTCGCTGTTTGCGACAATTAGTATTATTAACGGAAAAACGAGCGAATCATATCAAGCCGAGAACAATTTGCTGATTCACAAAGAGGGAGGCAAAAAATAGTTTTCGTTAAAAAAAAACTAAATATTAAATACTAACTAAACACTTTCCGTACTTTTTCCATATTTTTCTATTTAAAATGAACCTCTCTCCGTAGTTATCCTTTTGTTTATACACTGTTAAACTATTATTTTGACTTCAAATTATAATTTATGAGTACAAAAAGTTTGTTAGGAATGATTCCATATTTAAACTTAAGAGCTTAATTAAGAAAAGTAATAATTTAACTAAGAGAACACAATTAAAAGCAGTAGTTTACCCAAGAAAGGTAATTTCAAAAGGATTATCGATTGGAATTAGAATGCTATTTTCTTATATATAACAGACATTTTATTCGTACAATATCAACTTTGGTAGCACGTCAGTTCTTTAATCGAGATGCTACCAGAGAGCTCCCCTCTATACGCGTTCAATTCTACTTGTGTCCGGGCGTGCGAAAAAAATATCTCGATTTTACGCGTTTTTCACAAGTGGCCCATGAATTATCGCCGTTCTTTCATCCCGAAAACGTCCGTTCTCTCGCGCGTCGGGATCCTCTTCCTTGGCTCGCAGACAGCCGTCCCACGTATAATATCGCGGTCACTTGTCGCTCCATTCATCAGCGACCGCAGGCTCCTCTTTAGCCCGTCACGGGCTTAGGAAAAACGAGTAGCTTTTCACTCACCGCCGCGGCCGTGTGTGCATCGTCACGCTCGTCTCTTCCCGTGTGCGCATCGAGAGTGCGCGCTCTTTCCTAGTGGCGGCCTAATTTATTGGCCAGCGTTTATTGTCGCCGCCCTTAAGCGCGACCACACAGAACGCGAACGACACCTTTATGAACTCCCACGCCATTCACAATTACGAAACCGCCCTCGCATTTTCTTACCCCCGCGTCCCCGCGTATATTGTGAGTATAATCCCGCTCTCTCACTCTATACACGCCGATAATCGCGACATCCATTCTCCTCTTTTGTGAGTTTAGCTTTACACGCCGGATAGATACCGGTGTCGCGGACGACGGCTCGCGGGATATTCGTCGTGATTCGCCGGCTGTGACGACCTCGAGAGAATCGGTGACAATGCCGAGAAAATATGGGGACTATATACGATCTAAGATGTTTCAAGTACCTCCGCGCCTAAATCGCTTTTAGGAGAAAAGAACGACTAAACTCAATAGACATGTCCGTATTGCTATTTAATAATACGGCGATAAATTTTTTTCATTCGAAGATGGAAAGCTGTGAATTAAATAGAGATAATGCCAGTGCCTTGTCTCACGGATATATAGATAAAATACAATGCGCTTTTACACATTTGCATAAAAAGTGTGTAAAAATGATTACATATGCAAACACAAGTTTTCGACATTTCATATGTCACGGTTAGCCTTGTCAAGTCTTCGATAGGTAGCTCGTTTACTTACAATTCAGCAAAGAAGAAGAAGTTAATAAGCAATTACGATAATATAGGCTTCAACAATGCGATTTCTAGTGGCATGCTATGTCATTTACTGTCATAAGGTCCTTTGTATGGGTAATCAAGGAAAAGAGGAAAGGAAACGAGTCAAGAACGAGAGGCTCATCTAGTTAACCATAACGAAGCAATTTTGCACGGCTACTCGGTCGAAACGATGAATAAGCTGGACGCAAGCTGAGTTTCGTATTCAGCATACAGCGTGTATTTCATTGAATTTTCTGCACAGTAGTAAACGAAGTCCAGCCTTTTCTTCCGTATGTCATCAATAGCCACCGATACAAATTCATGATATATTTATGTTCATCGAATTCCCGAAAGAAAGTTATGTCCAATTGTTTACTTTCAATGTCACAAATATTTTTTCTTCTTTACTGTGTAGGTTTTAGATTTTCTAAATAAAATAAATGTTTATTCTTCATGAAAGAATTGAATAAACTGAAGAATACGTAACTACACGAAACTATCACTTTAGCATATATTACTTTTTTTTTTAATTATTAACCGCTACATTTTATACCTTAAATTTTTATGTAATTAACAGAGTTACATTTGACTTTTATTTTGAATTATTTGATATGATTTATATTAATAAGCAAATGTGTTACTTTTAACCTAAATTATTTTCCTTTCTTCTTTCGTACGTGTTTTCTTTTTTTTACACTTGTAGGTTTTGCATTTTCCTCTGTCTCGTCCAATTCCTTTTCATCTTCTACATCTACATCGACATCGGTTTGTGGTGGTGCAGACGTAGGTACAGGTGGCGATGGCGGTGGCAATGACGGTGGCGGTGGCGGTATTGAGGGTGGTTTAGGCGTTCTGAGTTCCAGTTCAACGTTTCTGTTTTTCTGTTCGGAGTATTCTGCTTTCTTTTTAATCCTTAGTAAAAAGATATCCTGATCGCCTTCTCTTACATGATCGCTGTACACTTCCTGCGTTCCAGTGCTGAATTGAGGATAGACAGTGATGGTCTTGCATTGATGATTATCCTGTCCATCCTGTCCATTGCATGATCCAATCTATAAAAATTTAAATAATATATTTTTTCCGACAGAATTAGAGTTAAAATTGTAAATATTTTGTTTTCATTGATTTAATTTTTAATATACCTATATTGCCTTCTGAATAAAGATTTTATATACATTAGAAATCTATATAATAAAGAAATTACGTTAATCTTAATTATAAAATTATAAAAATATATAAAGAGTCTTTATATAAAATTAGAAATGGCATTTTTTGACTCGCAATAATGATTTTGTTACTCGAACTTATAATTTGATCAATTTTATTACTTGCGCGAATAAAAAACCGATAATTTTTAAAATTTTAAAAATTAAATTGAGAACGGAACAAACTTTATAAGCGATAGTTTGCGATTTGTAAGGGTCTTCCTTTCCGTGGAGACGGAATGCCGAGTGGACGCGAAATACAATGCGATCGTCATAATCTGCGTTGATTATTTTGGGGCCTGTTTTGCTCGTCGGTCTTTGAATTTCGACGCAGTCGCAAGGTGGATCCCAATGTTTTCGTTTCTTTTTAATCTTGTTTTTATCTTTCTCCAATCTAATAATCAACTGATTGCTAATCATCTCAGCTCCAATCTCTTGATAATATTTTGAACAAGCATCCTTGACGAGTGAATGTGACGAAGACGATGGCGAATAAAGCGAATCAGTTATTGAAGGACAGAGGCACACATCTTGTTAAAACAGTTTAAAATTATTTTAAAATATACATATGAAATTACCTTAACGTATGAATATTTACATATATTCTACTAAAAAATACTGTATAAAATTATTTTGCTATTTAAAATTGCAAAAGAATATCTTGTTTTATCTTATAGTAATCTATTTTATGATTAAATGTAAAAATGAAAAAAGATTATTTTTAAAAACGAGACATTGGCTGTCAAATTAAATCCTATAAACAATTTTTATTAAAATTTATGTCAAACTGTTTAAAAAGAAACAAGCATTTTTTACATATATCTTTATTACCTTTAGAAAATTGCATTTTTACGGATAATTTAAAGATTGCAATGTAATGTTTGTTGAAATCAAGATTATTTGTTTATTTAACGTCCCATTTTTGTAAAGCTGTGGTTAGAATCCAGTAGTATGTCTATGAACTTAGTATAGTTTGCTAAAATCGATTCTAAAATCCGGCATATTCACGCTGCTCGTTAGAAAACAAATACATCGTAGATTTGCCATTTTTCAATCAGCAACATCATTCGGACCATGTCGTTTGGATAACCCAGTCAAAATGTATGCAATAATTTACCATCATGTTACCTAATAAGTCCCGTTATTTACATACGTAATGAAGTCGAAACAGCAAGAATGATTGTGGCAACTTACAACTGTGGCTGTCCAGCTAAACCTTCTCTGATTCCTGAATCAGTCGGATTACAAGCACCTTGTTCACCTTGTTGCTTTCAATCGTACGGCGCTCCACACCGTTCGCAAATACAAACAGCACAATGTTGTACACGCTCCAAAATTACAAAAAAACCAGAACACATCTATCCGATATCTAAAGGCGAGGCTTGTTGCTGCATCAATCGTAAAAGTTTTCTTCACGTACCGTCCAGTTCAGCGCGTGTTCCTTCCGTACGATTATCATCAATCCCTCCGCAATATTCTCGTTGTTGCGCTGCCGATGCATTTAAAATGTATTCGATCCCTTCGAGCAGGCTCGCAGCGATCTCGGCATCGAAAGAGAGCGTGAGCAAGCAGTTTCCGAAGAGCAGAAGCAAATCGATTTGAAGAACGTCGAGATGTCCGAGGCGGAGCAAGCCCCAACTGACACAGTCGTGTCTGAGATCGTTAGAAAAGAGCAGCCGTACAAGGAGATTGAGGCTATCATCAATGAAAATCGCGTCACCATCAGGATGCACAAGGAGTCGGTCAAAGAGGAATACGATCCCCCGTGCGAATGCATCGGTCAAGTAGCTTCAAAAGAGTCGGCGTCGAACCAAAGAAGGTGCGACGACGGCGTCACGTTCGACATGGCCCACGGAAATTTAGAGCTCTGCAGTACTCCTCGAGAGGAGTACGCGCCGTTGTCGGCGAAGAAAACCTGCGAGGAGGCGGGATGTCGCACGGTCACGTTGTATCCGAGCGTGAAGGACGATGTCAGAAGCGCTCCTACAGGTTACCGTATGGAGAGCAGGGAAGCCAAAAGGTCAAAGGTGGTGAAAACGATCGATCTTGAGGAAAATCCGAATATATTCCTGCTGAGAATTAGGAAGCACTGTGATAGCGGCGATAGAAGACAGACAATCGATCTTGAATTCCGCGCACCTCGTCCATGGAAGAAGAAAAAGGATCTTAAACCTAAAACATTAGAGGAACATGAAGATACTGACAAGAAGTATGTGGATGACATTGACCAAGAACATAAAGACTACACCGACAAAAAGTATAAAGACGACGAGAAACATAAGGATGGCATTGACGAAAAGATCGATGCTCACAAGGAGAAAGACGAATAGAAAATTTTACAATAATACTTGTCAAAACACTTTTAACTATGTATCTTGCTCTCAATTTAATTTACTATATTTTCCATTATCTCAGTAAATTTTATATATAATAATATCACTGATATCTTTGTACGAAATATTATGCATTTAAAATGATAACAAAAGTATGACAAGAAGTCTTCTTTAATTTCATTTTAAAAATCCAAAAATGATGATAAAAAGAGATGATATTGCAAAATAAATATTAAAACAGAAAAGTTTTAATATATTCCTTTTTTTTCTACATACAATTATAACAGCCATAGATAGAATTATATTTTTGTATTATATTTTTATGTATTATCACACTTGTTGCTAGAATCTCGAATTAGAATTAAATAATTTTTAGTTTCTATTATGGAAGATACGAAAACAGATAGTTGAATAATGATCTTTATATTATAGACTCGCGCGAAGAAAAAATATAATAAGGTCTACTACATCCTCCGAGATTAATTTAGGCTATCGGCATGGTGCAGGTAATTATTAACACGTAGCAAATTGAATTTCCGGAACGTGTGAGAATAAGGAATTGAGAACTCGGTAGTCAACGCTTCTACCGCTTACGCCTCTACGAGTTCTTTGTACACGGTTAATTTGTCTCGGATCAGGTATCTCTTTTCAAAACGATAAGTCCATACAAAAATAACGTGACAGGTGTCGAATACCGCTCCCTTTGGAACAATCTATCGTAGGTGCGTAGATCAAATCTGAGATCATTTTTAAATGCAAACACAGTTTTATTAAAAATTGAATTTATATGTTAAATTTATATATTTATAATTTATATATAATATTTATTTATAATTTATTTATAATTTATTTATAATTTATATATTTATATATTTATATATTGTATAATTAAAATTTGTATTACTGTAATCTTATATTTTTAGATTTAATTTTAATTTCTGAATTTATTTTTATTTTTGGATTTAAATAATATGCACTGTGTTATTGCATATGATATCTATTTTACCTCAATGCAGTAAAACTCCATTTATCCGACCATGTCGGGAAGCAAGACAGTTTCGATAATCAAATGGTTTACATTAGAGGCTTACTAGTTTTCCCTTCTACCAGTTATCCTCTTAACCCTCTACTTATTAATTTCGATAACAGGAGCTGACGTTCAGAAAACTAAAGTCGAGCACATAGAGAAACTCTTATTATCTGAATCATTCGGATAATAAAAGCTTAAGTATAAATATATTATATATTTGGAAGCACAAACTTGTTCATAAATGGACTAACTGATAAATAGAATTCTATTATTATATAATATTTAAAGAATAACATTTTTAAAAAAGTATAGTTTTAAAGCTAATTATTGCATTTATAATTTATTATATTTATTATATTACAACAGAATA